TGTGTTCAACTCGCAAGCCAAATTCCTCGATTTCCTAATGGAAATTACTTAGAAACTTTGAAACGGTATAGATTTATATACCAAGAGCATTGATAGAGGCATAAAAAAATCAAGGAGTTATTCTTCATTTCATTTTTGAAATCCAGTAAAGGTATAACGATTAGAAACGACTTGTTGTGTGTTTGCTTTCTACACAGACGTTATGATAGACAGAATGTAAGAAAACGCCTCGTTATGATCCCCAATATTAAAGCTAATTACTAAGAAACTTATACAGCATAAAGTGCCAAGAGAAATTAAAATGTCAACAAAAAAAAGATTTCTTTTTGTTACTCAACATTTAACATTTACTATAATGTCTGAATCATAAATCATGACCAGGGTCTCTGATAGATCTTCATTTATCTGAAGATATGAAAATGAACATTTGAAATGTTAATCCATCGAAGTATAATATGGCAAAAAATTAAAAAACTGCTAACAAACTTTCAAACATACAATATACGACAAGCAATATGAATGAATAGATATAGGCAGAGGCAGTCACTACAGACGATTAATATTAATAATTCAAAAACTGCTAAAACCCTGTTAATTGACTGCCCGGATGGCGTAGTGGTTTAAGCGGTCGCCACCTACTACGTCGAGTGTTGTGGGTTCAAACCCCACATGGGACAACACACAAATTGCTGTTCTGAGTCTGGGTGTTCTTTGTGTCCGTTTCATGTACGTTTGTAAAGTCCCTCCCGACACAGGATATATTCCTAATGCGGCAGTTGTCTTTTAAAAAAAATAATACAATGACACTGAGACAAAGAATGACACCGAACATAATATATATTAGGAGATCATTAATCGAACATGTACAGAAGCGAATGGCCTTTATTCGTAGATTTTGATTTGACTATGAACCTCGAAATACGTTACTCCTCCGTGAGTAGAGTATTCGAAAAACCATTTAGTGGCATTTATTAAAATAACCTATTGTAAAAAAGTTATACAAAGTGTATTTATAAGAAATTTACAAAAAACTTTTTGATTTTACTAAAAAGCCAAAGGCATATGTGTAATAAATATCTACTATTTTAATTATTACACGTATGACAAAGGTGTTAATAAAATTTTATGGTATATTTTACATGTGTACTAAATTATTCCCGATTCCCATATTCGATGAGACATCCGACCCATAATCGCTATTTTAATGTTTTATGTTTTTCATAGAAATAACAAAAGGTACTATAGAATTCCATGATTTATAAACGTCATAAAGAATTGTTTCTAATGGGGAAATACTTTACTTACAATTTCAAAAGAGTACATGAGTCACTTGGAATGGTCAATCTTACAAATGCAATTACCTTATTCTGCTTGGAATTTGGTTTAACAGAGACAGTTTCGTTTTGTTAATAAAATGTTTAAATATAAATTGACCCCGATCAGTTGTTCCAGGAAAATAATTTTGTTGCATTATCTAACTACTTTCACATAATGTTTAATAAAGCGGCGTCAATACATGGATTTATTGTACAATGAAGAAAAATACTTACCCACTACACTTGGGGATCAATTTACGGATCGGAAATGAGTTGTGGCTTGCGTTGTATTGCCTGATGTTTTTCCTTTGTTCGCTAGTTATTCGGAAAGGTATATCACGTACTATTATGAAAAGGGTGTTGTGAGAGTATTGATTACGACCCTCTGAACAAAAATCCACCCTTTTTCGTACGATCAAATAGAACGGAAGCGAAAAAAGATCAATATTTGGACAGAAATGATTATAACGCGCACGACCGGACGCGAATGCGCTCACCGGCGCTAATAAAACCTAAAGAACAGGATGCGATTTTCGACGGAATCATGTTAACTCGTCCGTTCTCAGCGTTCTCTTGTCACAACAAAGTTGAGTTTTTTAGTTTAGCTGAATGCGATTCAATTGAATTGGATATCGAGCCCCGCGGCTTACAATCTAAATGTATGCCTCGAGCACGGTGAGCCCCGAGCGTATTCTTATTAAAACGGCACCGCTCACTTCCGCAAACACAATCCGATCCTGTAGCTATTGAACACGATTTTATGTTTATTTTAAAGATAGCATTTATGCCTCATCTAAATCAACGTACACAAAAGTTTGAAATACTGAGACTCACCGTAATGAGAGTCTGAGACTCAGCATACTCAAAACGAATCTTGTCTTCGAGAGATTATATGATGGATTCAAAAACTCTGATCCCAGAATGATAAGCACTCAATTCTCTATGACAATTTCCACATAATTGTATTTTGAATCTGTAGCACAACAATAAGAACATCGATCTGTTGTAAAGTTGTTAGTTAGGTTTGACTTTGCATTAAAATACCTATACTGTTTTTTTTTCAGGATAACATCATAGTTTCAGTACTTCTTAATAGTTCAGCTCGTATAGTTTTACCTATTTTTTTTTTATATTTAATGATAGTGAACAGATACATACATTTATTCAGGTTAAAATGATTTAAGAGTTTAAGCTATAAGTATTGATCGTGGTAACTTAAGGAGTTTTTATGAGCAAAAAGGACAGCCGTATTTAGTTTGGAATATTTTAGGGCATTTTCGATTCGAATTTGCTGGCCGATTTAGAACTAATCCATCAAAATTAAACGTTCTCTCCTCAACACATAAATTCACTTCAATATTCAATCTAACATTGTCTATTTATTGTGCTGTTGCCAAATGAAATAAAGAAATCAACAATTACTGATTTTAATTAAACTGTTAGATTCCGCATTACAGGTTTTATTAAATCTTACAATAGTCACGTTTTCAAGAACGAAACTTTGGGCGAAATAGCTTCGTGATGTAAAATTTAAACTACCCCTCAATAGAATATACAAATTGTATTTATAAAATCGCATGTATCTCACAGTTTAATTAAATAAATATGTAACTAGCAGTGGATAATGCATTACACACTAACTTTACCGAACTTGTTACAAACCTAATGTGTCTATAAAAAATAAATAGATTCTATTTAACCGTGATTATTTTTGTATTTACACTCTGCCGATAATAATTTCTTTAATGTTTACACGTGCTTGATAAAAGGTCTTTCTTTATTTACGCTAAAGCAATGATTCCGGGGTATTTACACAAGTTGATAGATAAAGAGCGATAGTAAAGCGGTGTTCTTGTCATGAGAAAGAAAACTAAACAAATAAAGAGATCCTGCTCTCGAGTCGACTGTGTAACACCAGGGACAGCTCTGATAACAAAAACAATGAAATACATACTAAAATTAGAAACTTTGTAAGTTAAAAACTTTATTGAAATACCGCTTTGTTTATCTAGCTCGACAGCGCTTCAGACGAATACAGTTTACTCTGTTATATAAAAAGATAATCAAAGTTATAATAATATTAGTCATATGATTAGATTACGTTAGTTCCTTTTATGGAGCTAAAAAAATTTCGAATGTTACGTTTAACTGGGCGCTATTGTTTTGAATAAAAGATTTTAGTTTTGATTTAACACGATGATACAAGTTTGCTGATTTTATACGTCCATGGTTAAGCCGTGTTTGTTGTTATTACAACAAATGGGTATTCCATTTCACAAAGTCTACTAAGTTTGAGTCGAGATAATGTAATATACCCCAGTACTTATATTAATTTATCTATCTACTATGTACTTATTACCGATCTAGCTATAATGGGTGTGTTTGATGAGTTATATTAGTCTTTACAATAAATATTTTATATCCCATTCAATGTAATAAATAAGTAGTAACCAATACATAACTACGAGGTATATTCACATTTGATTTCGTATATTAAAATTTGTCAAAAAAACATTCTGTCTGTGCACTACCTCTTCGAAACACAATTGCGAAGTAATTGTAGTTTGAAAGGTAACATAGTGTGGTGGCAGCCAGTTAAGATCGTCCACTACGACGTGATGCCACATGTGTAACAAATACTAACAGCGAGTCAACTCCTTTGATAGACTGCTAAACACCTACGAGACTGTATTTACTCTCGACTAAAAATGTGCAAGGGTTGGCACGATCACGATCGTAGGTAGCTAGGTAAAAATAGTATTTGCCTAATTTAACTATATTTTATCTATATAGCAAAATCTCGGGTTCGGGTCTCGGATAAAAGGTTGATAATTATATAAAACAGGTTAAAATTATACATTGGAGAATTTTTACTTCTTCGTGCTTTCAGTTGGTGAAAATATTGGCCAAAGATTTTGGTGAAATTGAATTCTTACAACCATGCGATTGCTGCTGTATTCTATCACGATATGAATGTAATTATATGTTATTTGTATAGTTAAGTATATGTAATATAATAAAAACCATTAATAAATGTATGTAATTAATATAACTAAAACAGTAAAAAGTATTTTTGTATTTTTTTAGTATTTATCACATATACCTATGGTGAAGGTACCTCCGTAAATGAACCACATGAACCTTGTGCTACTAGAGAACTGGAACTAATACATTACTGTAAATTTTTAATTGTGTAGCAAATAATACTAAGCTTTCATGAGCATGATACGATACTAATCACATTTACACTTATTGAAACATCAAACAAATTTCGTTGTTTTATCGATTGTCAGTTCTGAGTACATTAACGGAATAGTTATTATTACAGAGAACACTTTCGTAGAATGTCGGAAATAGCGCTTCCGAGTAACTCTTGTATCGGATCTCTTGTCGCTTGTCCCGTGTTTATTTATACAACTTCTTCTGTATCTGATGGCGGCCGCCGGCTGCGATCGTATCATTCAACGACTAGAATAACTGTTTTAACATCAAAGAATTTCAATCTATTTTGTAATATTGAGAGACAAAGGTTTAAAAGTGTCATTTATCTACTCGTATATGCTTATAATACGTCATTGATGCTTACCGAATTTGATACAATATATTTTTTAGAGAAATTCACATGAAATTTAAAAGTACAGAATAGTACAGTTAAAAGAAAAAAGTCAATCAATTAAGATAAATATGTGGTCAGTGGTCACTCCGCTTGGTTCCTGGTTCCTGGTGCGTTAATACTTTATATATTAATGTGACATTATCACGTGAATGTGTCAACAAATTAGGAAAGGACAGTAGAGAATCAACCTTTTGTTGTCTGACGACCGCCTACACAGTCATATTAATTGTTATGATACAGGCGATACAGCGTAGAAAATCAGTGTGGGCGGAGGTAAAAGACAGACCATAGTGAGATACCTATATGCGTGTGGTAGGTAAGTGGATACAGATCGGGATGGTCAAAAAGGTTTGCGGCATCGTCGGCGGCACAGTGGTCGGACAGCTTGGCCCGATCGCGCGGCATGATCAAAGCTCGACACGGGTCGACGCACGCGGACCTCGATCGTCCCGCGTCACGTCCCGCGCGCGCCATGCATCGCTTGCCTCCCGAACTCGCCCGCTTGCCTGACTGCGTCTTTAACTCAACAACGAATGACCTCAGCTCAATTCGTTTGACTGACTCTGAGATGCCGCCCTATTGGTACACAGCTCTCGCAAAATAACACTCAAAGAAAACTACCTACCATCTTAGAACCGGTTATTGTTTACAAACGACTAGTGCTTAAGGCCAATAAATTGCTCGAACGAAATATAGCGACCTTGGTTTTCTGAGACAATGTTCCTTCCGTGTTTCAAAGCATCGAAGCCGCTGCGAGTTCAACAGCACAGTAATTTTACTACTTATCTGAAGAGGTGTCTTAAAGTAACATAATATATTATGTTTAATGTAAAACGGATCTATCAACTTTTTACGCGTAGGTATGTAGGCATGTCATGGATTCAATGATTAAATTGCACTATTTCGAAGGGCTCGCTTTAAAAAGTAGGTACATTAGGATACGTACTTTAGTGTGTTTATAAGTTTGTTGTTAATTTGATTACAAAAGTTATAATTTTTCAAATTGTCCGACCTTGTGTATATTATTAAATGACTTTTTGGGAATTTGATTGGCTATTTCTTTTACGGGTCGGGGCGGTCACGTTTCACCTGATGGTAAGTGACTACCTTCGCCCATGGACAACTGTAACTTAAGAGTCACAAGTGTGTTGCCGCCCTTTCAGTCCCTCATCGGGGGGCGGGGGAGGGTTAGGGCTCCGGTAACCTTACCCGCTCGGTGAAAAGCAACGAAAAAACTGCTTAACACCGGTTTTCTGTGAGGCCGTGGTATCACTCCGGTCGAACCTGGCTCATTTGTGCCAAAGCATTGCTCTCCAACGATTACATAGCTCATTATTTTTATTAAAACAAGTATTTAGACGACCTCAACCTAGTTTGTCAAGTCCGTATGGTGACGGATTAACTGACCAAACTACGCAGGACAACAGCACTGCAAAAAGAAGGAAAACTTAAAACAAACCCTATACTAACCCGTCAGGCCAGTGTGGTATAACAGGCCAAAACCTTGTTTCTAAGGATATGCCGATGTCCAGCATTGACTTTAACTTAACTTTGTAAATGATCATGGTCCTTCCATATTAGTATAACAGGGAATTAATGATTTCAATAGACAATTGAATACATGTAACATACCTACAAATTTGTTTGTTTTTTATTGTTTTTAAACTGTCTACTTATATTACATACATACACTCACGCTTCATTTCCGTCCGACACAATCAGACATGATAGTATGCTTAGAACATGGATGATCTGAAATAGAGTGCCAATTACAACGATGCTGATGTACAGTTTGCATCTCTTCCATACATCAGACTTTTCATACGTGCTTTTAACGAGGCCTTTCTTCAGTATACTGCCGATCTGGTCAGTCTATGACTTTCGGGCCCTGCCTGCTCTGGCTCACCCACTCACAGAGGGCTTATAATCTCTTTTAGCCATTCACTCTTCGCACATTCTTTTAATATACCCAAACCATCGCAGTCCGTAGATTCCGTTTCTCAATTCTTGTCACTATTTCTTCTTTCAACCCACACGTTTTATTACCTCATTATTCTTTACTAGTCAAATTGTGCAAACATATTACAAACTGTCTGGATATTTTAACGAATATCCTAATTACCACGTGCTCCATAACGTATAAATATACATTCCCTCACATCAACATACAAAGTAGATACGGATATAGACTTGTCACTTGAATTTGGAACCTTTGTATCAAAATTTGAGCAGTTTATCACGGATTATGAGGATTAAACTATAACGATCTTGGATTTAACTGAATCAATCATTTCAACCTATAATCCATTTTGGATTAATTAAATGTGATAATGATACTCGTATCTTATTTACAACCCAGATTGTTGTTTTCTGTTACCAAATCTAATAATAACATCATGTGACTTTTTTGTGTCACTCTGAGCGTTGCCAGTCACATTAGCATATCTATATGTATATTACCTATATGTATGGCGTTTGCCTTTTTTATCACCTAACTTTGTTTGTTCACGTGGAACTTGAAAAGGCTGCCTTAGTGGGTTCGATACCCGAACTGGGCAAAATTTTAAAGAATTTTTCTGACAGGACTCCTTATATAGACAGCTACCTGATAGTAAAATATTATCAAAATCGAACCAGCCGTTTAGGCGATTACGTCGGAACAAAGAGACAGACCGACAGACGGACAAAAAAAAATCTGGTTTTTAGGCATAGGTATCGTGCAAATAACCGTGTGACCATGAAAGAAACCTATTATTTTGACACAACAAACATACACTTCAATTTTATTTATTTGTATAGAATAAATTCATTAGTGTTGCTGCTTCAGACAAGACCATTTCTCCTCACGAAGCAGTGAAAGTACTAAAAAAACCTCTGACAAGTAGGCCACCTTTTTTTTTTTTTTTTTTTCTGTGCGGTAATCCCCTCGGATACCACCTATCGGTGGCATGGCGGACTCGAACCGACTAAAACCGCACGCCGTCGCGGGTACTAATAGCCGGGGAACCAGGTATACCCTAGAAAGGAAGTCCCTGGTGCCCCGACTTACTTTGGGCTGCTCTCTGGAAGTAAGCGCGCTTCGCAACGCGCTCGCCGCCACCCCGGCCTGCTTCTGCTAGGGTGACAGATGGCCTCATCTGTCATCCTCATGGCCTGCGCTTATGGAGGACGGAGGTCGTTCTGCGACCTCCGGCGCCTGAGTTGCCTGCGGTACCTAGCCCGTTCCCGGGCCTGGCGGGCCGGGAGAGTTCTAAACCTCTCCCGGTCCTGCTCCGCCGTCTCCTTCGCGAGCATAACTTGCTCGCAGAAGGAGACGGCAACAAGTAGGCTACCTGACCTATTGGACTTTGAAAATATATGGAGGTACAAACAAAACTAAGATCTCTCCTAGGAAAATACGAGAATCGCCACTAGCTGTTTACTCTGTAATATACTATACATCTTTAATATTTTTTTTCCTATTAACAACAATATTTTGTAGATTGAATAAATAAGACGTTGATAATAAAAGTTATTAGTATCTTTTTTATTAAATAAATCAAACTATCGGTAAGTTCTTTGCAGTTTGCATTGTTAAATTAATGCTGCAACGATATTACATGTTATATTATGTTGTTACTCAAAGTACGATCAAAAACGATACTGAACAGTATAATGACTAGAACCGAACTAGACCTTTTATTGAATAAATACATGTTTCATATACATAAATAAACATTTTAAAGTCTAACGTACAGGGCGTCTCCAGCGCATCGCGGTGCGATAAGTTTGATGGCGCATGGCGGAGTGCTGGTGTATTGCGCCGGCAATGTGGCGTGTCAGACCTGACGGGCATCGTAACGCAACGGGTTGAATTAATTAGTAGTGCACCGCTCGGCGGCCGCGCCACTCACTGTCTTTATAACATAATTTGCACTTCGTGCGGCGAGATCAAAGCCGAGGCCGTTCGATTGCGGTGCCTTTGATCACGGCGGCCTTTGACGGCCGCCGCCTCCGCTGGCCACGCCTCGAAATAGTCAATTTGTCGTTGGTTTTTTCATGGCACGAACCGTAGTCCTTTTACGAGTATATTAAGGCAAACATCTCAAGTTAATATGTATTACGTTATACGAATTTATATATAATTACCACTCATGCTAATCATGAGACAATGTCATGAGATTAGATACAGTCACATAAAGTTTTGCATAACGGATCTTGTACTTGTGTTAGGTATTTATAGAAGTGTTAAATATTATGCGATATCGGACCCTCTAATTTCTGCTCCGATTGTATACAGCGGTTAGTGTGGAATTCCCAATTAGGGTTGTCGAAATTATTTTAGTTCCGTTTAGATCGCATTACATTTTTCGTAGTAACTTTAATTTTATTACTAGCGACCCGCCCTATTGCACGGGTGCAATGTACGTAATAACATCACATTATAAATCTTTGGAATTCTCGGATTTTCTCTGCTATAATATGCATGTACAAAACCGAAATCAAATTTTATAATAGCCCACTTAATCAGTTATAAGGTATTTTGAAGGTTTGTTTTGAAAAATTAATAGCCAACGTTTTTATTACTTTTAATAAAGAGTATTAACTGTGAGTTTGAAAATAAATCATATAAATTTCCAAACCTCATTTTGCACCCTTAGGGGTGGAATTCATCACCCAAGGAACTTTGTGCAAAATTTCATGCTTCTAGACCCAGTTGTTTCAGTTGTGCGTTGATGATCAATCAGTGAATCAGTCTGTCAATTTCTTGTTTTATAGATATGGATGTACTCTCCGACCCGATTTGGGCATATCACGATATATTTTTTTTGATGATGCCAAGACGTATCGTTTAAAAAAGTAGATACCTATGTACCTATACCGTTAAAGAAATAGATACATAACAATTGTTGAATGTGTTATTCATTAGGTACATATACTCGTAATGTGTTTTTATGGAAATATATATAGGTTTATAGGTTTTCAATATAGGTTGTTGTAACGTTACCAGTGCATATGATATGAAAACGCCCGATATTTGTAATGTTTTTATTAACCTTAATCAAATATAACTTGCAGCAGAAGTCCTCATCGCCGCCTATTAACAGCCCGGTCACTGGGTTTAGGCCCACACCCTACTCCGGAGTAAAGCCCGCTACCCCTACCTAAGTTGAAGTTCAAGCGTCTAACGAAGTCGTCCAAGTTCTGCATGCGCAGGTAGTAGTAGTATAATTTCCTACTTCCCGCTTCTGCAGGATCACCTTACCTATCTACTCTTGACAAAAGGGCAGCAATTGCCAATGTAACCATAAACTACTGTTTTTCGGCCGTTTCTTTCTCAAGTAGTTTTTCCTTCAGTAGGGTATAATTTGCAGTTGAGCGAACACATCCCGCCTTCATAGTTACACGTTTTATTAAGATTCAAGTATATATTGTGTTGCTTAAGAATTTCAGGATCCTTTGTTCTTATTAAATGATAATTAATCTAACTACTAATATTACTCCATCTATCAAGATTTTATGCATAAACCGCATAACGAATTTTGGTACAAATATTAAAAGAGCCATGCAAAAAGGCCATCTATTTAGGCTAGGCTATAAAGCAAAACTTGAATGGACGGAAAT